GAGGGTGAAAATCTCACTGCATCTTATACGCTGAATATAGCACTTTTGGCCTACCGAAACCCCTCCCCTTTCACAAAAAGGGATGTGCAGAGAGTTTGGGAGGCTTTCAAGGTGCTCCTGCGGGCTGGGGAGGGCAAAAAGATAAAAAACGGGCCGTTTTTGCCCCCCCCAGTCCCCAGGAGCACTCTACAAACCTCCCAAATCCTCTGCATCCCCCCCCCTTTTTTTTTGCAAAAAAACAAGGCATGCAGAGGGTTTGGTAGGCCTGCAGAGTGCAAAAACTTTTTTTTAATTTACCTTTTCAAAATCACAGTGCGTCTTATATTCCGGTGCATCTTATAGTCCAAAAAATGCGGTATTTTTTCTTTTTAAAAAAAGGTTCAAGTATTGTAGGCAGAGACCAAAAAAGAAAAAGAAAAAAGGATCCATTGCTTTTCTCATTACTGGGCCTGAGGGGAGCCGAAGAACCCCATGGCTGTGACCACACCACCTTCCTCGTGCAAAGAAGAAACAGCCTTGAAAAAACTGGACAGGGGATTGACTGTCGCGTAAGCTGGATGTTTTCCGAATGGAAAGACGTGCTGATCTATTTGTGTGTCTTCTTGAATATATGAAAGGATAATCAGGCAGCTGTCGGGAGCTGAGCTTCAGTGCTTCTCATCTGAATTCCATTCTCCCCTTAGGTCTGGTCGACAGGATCTGGGCATCCATTGTGCACTTAAAAGAACCAGAGCCATGCACGGAAACAGCCCATCATCACCTGCTGCGGAGTTCTGATTATTTTATTTCCTATCCCCTGCTTAGACTTCTACCATTAACTTTCAGCGCTAATACATCCCATTTTCCTCCTTATTTAGGGACGGCCCTCCTACACAGCAGCTTATTCACAGGTTTACTTAGTGTGAGCATGACAGTGTCTAGGCCGCTAGCAAGTGACAATGGAGCATAAAATGCCATCTTAATATAAATGCAGTCTAGGTGTTTAATTTTTTATGTTGTGTTCCCCCCCCCCCCTCCAGCCGATAGGGAGTGGAAATAAGGATGCCCAGCTCTTAAAATATCTTCTTTAGAAGACCGGTTCTCGTGGAAAATAGCACTTTGCAAAAAGGTCAGCGTTTCAGGTCTGCGTAGAAGTGCAAGAAATGAAACTGTTTTAAGGAATGTTTATTACTCATCTTTTCCTTGATTAAGGGATTTCCAAGAAATGCACTGGTGTCCGTATGGACAGCTCTCTCTTTCAATTTTGATTTATTTTCTCCCTCTCTCTCTCTCTCCCTCTCTGACAACATAACTCATTTCAGAACGGATCAGATAAAAAGGCCTATTTAGTCCAGCTGCCTGTTTCCATAGTTTCCAGATACTTAAGCGATAGCCACAGACAGGAGGTCTATTTTATTTTATTTCTACAAAAATGTATGACTCACTCCATAATGCACATTCAATCTGTTGAGAGAGAGGCCTTCAACAACCATCTTGTTCCTCAGGAAATGGTATACACAGCAACCAGCCTCCAGGATTGGAAGTAAAAATGTGTTGTTATTGATAGCTTGTCCTTGTCCTAAATTTGTCTCATCACTACATCTTGAATTTTCATGTCCTTCACGCCCACTTTAAGAATAACTTTGACAGGTTCAAGTACAAAAAGTTCTCCCAAATTGGGAAATAACTAATTGTCAGGCCTGCAGTCATATTCCTTTTAGGATCTTTGGCCTGCCCCACTCTCCGTTATTTTACTATGCTGTTTCATTAGTGGGGGAATTGGGAGGGGGAATAGTAAGGAGTAGAATTGTAGAATGTGTTGTTGTCATTCCTTTCTAGAAATCAAGGTCATCTTTTGTCTCCGCACCTCTGCATCTGACCAGAACCAGATGGGTGGAAATGCCAGCATGGCAGTGAGAGATTGGACCATGTGATGGACTTGTGGGTGTGGAGCAAGATCATGAACTTTGAACTGGATGGAAAACCCAGGAAGCTTTCAGATTCGGGTTTCCCACAGATGTGTCAACATGTCTCTCTTAATAAATTGGAACTTTGAGGAAAGATCTGCCTTGAACTCTGATTTAATTTTGGATGATATTTGGAACGCTGACACTAATAGCACCAAGTGTCAGGCAGAAGTAACCAGGAACAGGAGTTTAGTTTAAAGGACTTCCGGTTTGTTACATAGTACCTACTATACACAAGAATCTGATCTACTAGTGACCAAGACAAATTTGACCCCACCTTCATGCTCAGCCTGGTCATCTCCATTGAGAGCCAATCAGGAGTTTGTGGCCACTTTTCCTTGTCCAACAGATTTTTCTGGTCAGGCCAAGGATCGATGTTGAGGCCTAAAAGTGAAAATCTGGATACCCTGGTAGTCACATCCTGCTCTGAGGTAGTAAATTGGTAATTCCTGATGCACATACTTGGAATTAGATATGATTGCCTGGCAACCACTGCATAACCTTTGTGTCAACCATCTGACTAGCAAACCCAAGAAAAGTAGACAATCTCAGGAACTCTGAAATCCCAAAAGCAAAACTTTATTGGATACACCGTTTTGGTACTGAAGAATCAAAACCAGCTCTGGTTTTCTCCGTGCAATGCTTGTGTAATTAAACAATAGCTTCGCCTTCTCACCACCCCTGGTTGGTTGCGTCCAATTATGAACCGTACTTTTGCTTTGAGAATAGTTCATTTCTCTGTTGGACACATGCATCAGTGGTCTTGATGGGTTTCCCTCTCAAGCCTTCCCTCCCCCCAGTTCTTTGGCAAGTTGAATAGCGATAAGAACTCAAAAGTGGTTCAACGTTGACACTTTGTGTGGAAGAGAAATAGGACTCTAATATTAGTATTATCTGTCCAGTGATTAAAACAACCAAATGCAAAAATTTGGTAGTACAACTTCTTGAACTTATGGTGTGAAGATATATTGAGTACAGGATTCAGCTCTATTTTCCTTCCCAGAATTCAATCAATCTCAAGGGATATGAACAAAATCAAGTTTTGTTATTAAAAAAGATTTAAAAATGTACCCCACTCTAACCTTTAACTTTAAATACTAAAATGTAGGGATTTAATGGGAAAGGTGATAGATAGATAGATAGATAGATAGATATATAGATAGATAGATAGATAGATAGATAGATAGATGATTGATTGATTTAGACATTCTATCTGAATGCCCAACTGAAAAAAGATGATTCTAAGTAGTCAACAACATTAGAAATATGAAATGAAAGGAAATATAAAATAAAAACACATGCTGCATTGTTCATTAGGAGAGATATGGAATTTGAGTGCAGTCTGGCATACAAAACTATTTTCTCAACAGTTCATCAAATCAGAAGCATTGACAATGAAGTCAGAAATTAGGCCACTACATTCAATAATCCTTACTGAAAGACGGAGAGAAACGAGGGAGGGAGAGAAGGAAGGAGGTAGGTAGGTAGGAACAGCAGTGAATTTCAATTTTTTTTACTACCGGTTCTGTGGGTGTGGCTTGGGGGATGTGGCAGGGGAAGGATACTGCAAAATCTCCATTCGCATCCCACTCCTGGGCAAAGGTTATTGCAAAATCTCCATTGCCACTCCACTCCAGGGGAAGGATACTGCAAAATCTCCATTCCCACCCCACTGCAGGGGAAGGATACTGCAAAATCTCCATTTCCACCCCACTCCAGGAGAAGGTTACTGCAAAATCTCCATTCTCTTCCCACTCCAGGGGAAAGATACTGCAAAATCTCCATTCCCTCCCCACTCCAGGGGAAAGATACTGCAAAATCTCCATTCCCTCCTCCCTCCAGGGGAAAGATACTGTAAAATCCCCATTCTCTTCCCACTCCAGGGGAAAGATACTGNGTTTTCAAAAGTAACCATTATTTACTGCAAAAATCTTTTTCCCTGCAAAAATAAGATCTTCATACTTGCAAAGAAGAATTTTTTTCACTGTAAAAATAAGAATTTTATTGATTGTAAAAATAAGAATATTTTTGACTGTAAAAATAAAACCTTTTGGATTGTAACGTCTTGAGCAACATCTCTTTTTTTACTGCTCACTTCTCAGGGGCAGAAAGAAGAATTAGAAATTTTGCTGCAAAAATCACAAGGCAGGACGTTGGCTGTCGATTCCTGCAGCATAATTGCCCCTTTTGCGACCTTCTGGCAGAAGCCAAGTCCATGGGAAAGTCAGGCTCACTTAACGACCGTGTCATTGGCTTAAAACTGTTGCGGTGGCTCCCTTAACAATAGAAATGACGGGCTCAATTGTGGTCGTAAGTTCAGTACAAACTCCACTGTAGTGTGCAAGGCAAAGCCCGTCAACATAACAATGGGTTTACCCTTGAAAAAGGTAGACTTTAAGTTTCTAGTCCTCTGGCAGCTGAGCAAACTCGAATACCGAAATTGTCACTCAAAAGGGGTGGGGGGACGATTCTGCTTTCTGCAAAAGTGGGGCGCATGTCTAGACCGAATGTAATTTCTAACGTTGGATTTTCCCCCTTACCAGAGGGAGTCACATTGTGGAGTATGCCATTTTTCGGCAATACAGTAGAAGCCATTTCAAGGCACAACAGGCTGTATCTTTCAAGGTAGAACAGAACACACACCCCGAGGGAGGTTAGGGATGTCTCCCCCCCGCCCCCCTCGCCACAGTATTTGTTTCCAGAGAGTAAATCATTTGTGTACCAAGTTGGGTTGAAATTGCTCAAGGCGCTCCAGAGTTATGCTGGAAAACACACACAAACAGCCATTTTTATAGGCAGCGTATAGAACGGGGAGTGCGTTTTTTCTTTCCCAATGTCTTTCCCAATGTCACAAAACAGTAAAATTCTTGCAAGCGTGCCTAGTTTAAATATTAAATTTGCACAATTTAATTCTGGAAGAATTTGGATCGTCTGAGACAGGCGTGTCAGGGTCCGGAAAAGCTGCCTTGTAGGTGGAGGTTTCTAAAATCTCCTAAAATCTCGTGTGATCCCCGGGCATCCCTGTGGAGTGATAACACGGTGCCTTTCTTGCAGATCCACTCGGGGAGACGGCGCCAAAGAGGGAAGCCATCCTAAGAACCAGGCATATGGTTAGCCCGTCTTTCGACGGGCATGGAGAGGGTCGCATCGACATTGGTGGAAATCTCAAAGGAAGAGTCTTCTTCATTTCCTTCCAAGTTTTTTGTGGAGTGGGGGGGGGGCATTCCTTTCTCCCTTCCCCCTGGTTCGAATTTTATATCTCCCATCTAATACATCCGGGAGTGACGTCCAGTGAGTTAGCTGATGTATCCAAGAGCTCCGTTGCTCGATCCGTGTTTTAGTTTTGAAATGCCGCTACTCCTCGACTTACCACCACAATTTCTGTACTACAGCAAGATGTTGGGGTGTGTGGTTGCCCCCCCTTCCTCGCCACCGTCTAAGCAAATCGCTGCAGTTATTAAGTTCGTGACACGGACATTAAGCTTATCATCACAGTTGTTTTAATGGGTTTAAAGACACAGACACCCCAATCCTTCCCATCCCAACCCCGGGGGCTTAGATGCCAGGGAGCTGCCCATTTTTTCTCCGCTTGACTTCCACGCTCACTAATCTCTCCCGAATCTCGTCTGTGATATCAAACTGTCCAACAGCCAATAAAAGGACGGATTTAGAACCAAAAAATGTCTCTTGAGCCGCTCTGGAAAACAAAAGGGTAGTGGGATCGCTCTTCAGGGGCTGGATGAGATTACGGGGAGAGCTTCTTTGAGTTTATCGACGTCTGCCACAGAGCCTGGCCTGCTTTGCAGGGCCGTTGTGTGGCAAAGTATCCCAGCTCCATTTCACTTTGGAATTCTGCTCTGAAAAGACGACCATGTAAATGATATAATAAAGGATCTTGTGGGTGGAGGAAGTAGCCAATTC